CAATATCAACCGAAGACGAGTAATTGTGAATGATCTCCCTGGATGTGACCTCTCCACGTGTCAAATGTCTAGAGACTAGAGTCTAGACCACCCTCAGCCAAACCCATCAAACGCATCAAATAAAATAACTAAAACGTTCTGGTGCTTTTCCTGGTGGATCGTCGGGACTGGAGTGATGAGAAAAAAAAAAATCGTCGAAAGCCTGAATCTTCCCCAGAGTTGAATAAAAAAGTGGCTTACCTGGCTCTCTCTGAGAAGGTGGTGATAAATAACAGCTCGAGCCTTATTGCATCCTTTTACTCTTCACTCCAGGTTGCCCCAGCCTGTGCTAAACTTAGACTCATTTTTTTTTATCACTTTAACAACTCGGACCATTCATTTTTCCCTTTGCCTCCCCTTGGCTAATCCTCATCCGCATTTTTTTATACTTTTCTCAGTGCACGCTATTATTAATATTTATATTTTTAGACACCCATGGAGCAGAAAATACCTACTTTCTCTGGTTGTCCATGGTAAAAAGACTTTCTATGCTAATTATCGAATGGATCTGGATAATTACCAAGTGGGTTATAAATAGATATGGGAAAAATAAATGATGGGGGTAATCATTGGGTGTCGGGGAGAAAACCGTTTCCTTTAATGGAAAGGTGCAGCAAAAAATTAACAACATATTACCGGATTGGTAATAACTGGGGGGACTAACAAAAGATGGAAAATAAGATGTTGCTGAGGATGGGGGGAATTTTCTTTGGAAACGGGGTCGCTGTCCTCCGCAATTAGAGATTTTCTTTTTGTTGGGGGAATAGAATAAAACAGATCTTGTTTACTCAAGTGTTTACACAGAGTTGAGATAACTGTCTTTTATTGACCTCAAGACTTTTCTCTCCTTCATTTTTTGCCCCAGGATATCTTCGATGTTCACGGTACGGTGACCGTTCTAAATTTTCAATGGTAATATTACCCGCCAAAATATTATAATGGAAATATATTGCCTCGCGAAAATATTAACCCTGAAAAATGTTACAAGTCGAGATATTACGGTATCATTATATTATTTTTAAAAATATTGCAAATTAAAGGATTATGATATCAATTGGTTACTGCGCAGAAGTATTTTACTGGCGAAATATTGTTGTCCTCAATTATTTTTCAAGCAATATTCCTATGTGGAGGCGATTGTTGTGATTTGCTTGAGCGAGCTGGGGATTACTTTTGCGTACGTTAAGAAATCGATAACAATCGATAATAATCGATATATTTTGCGTATCATAACAAGTACTGCCTGAGGATTTCTGTGGATTGAATTCGTCAATCGGTCTGTGATGGTGTGGGATATCTCCAAGGCGTCGGTCATAACGTCATTTTGTGATTTGAAATATTTAAAAATTATTGGTATATTGAGGGGCAGTTGTAGCGAGTAACAGTTCGGGAGTGATTGTCAATTATATACCAAATATAACAATTTATTATTATTTTTTTTTCTCTTCTAATGTTTCGAAATAATATGTTTGTTTAACTGTTTTTAGCTGTAATGTTTTGAAGCAATAGTTTCTTCAATTGTAATATTTTTTGTTCTGGTGTTTTTAAGGTACGAGACCTACTGCGCACTTCGCGCGCCGCATTTGAATTTGGCGGTTCGAGTTGACCAATGAGAAATCAGTCCCACGCGTTTCGAGATATTTCGACTCGGGCGAACTTCATTTTTGTGGTTTTACTTTCATAATAAGGATTACTTTGAGTTGTATTATTTTGATAGGCAACACACGAAACCTCTGGACTCATTTCGCCTTCATAAGAAAAATCCTGGAAAAATCGTTGACGTTATTTTGAATTTAATTGACAAGTTTATGATCGAAACCTACAGTTCAGATAATTATCCTATGCACATTCTAACTCTTTTCTCCGATTGATGTTTTCCCTGAGGATATTTTCTCTCCCTCGCGCACAAAAAACATTTACAACTTTATTTTCAACTCGTTCTGCTCATACCACGTATTTAAATTTTCTGCATAATTATATATATTCTCTGAAGAATTTCTCTTTGTGTGTGTGGAATTTCGAATGTGACCCACGAAATTTGAGAAACGATACCGATTATCAACCCGGAGATGACCCTCAAACTCGCCTCTCACGAACCATTCACCGAACCGATGACATCACGTGTCATCGGAAAAAACAATAAATAAATAATTCCCGGCGACCGCTCGCATATTTGTCAAGGACGTTCGATTACGTCCTTTCACGATGATCAAATCACCGGTGGACTTGCATCGAGTAACGCCCGAAGGATGAAGGGCAACCTTTCATCATATGGAAAGAATTAAATAGTGAACATAGTTAAAGATTTTCCGATTTTTCCGATTGACTCTGTGTAGTCATAAGTACTATGTCCCTTAGTAGACACTATCCCAGATCATGAACTCAGTCAAGAAAAAGAAACGAAAAAAAAATCGATCTTGATTACTATGTCCCATAGTAACACAATTTTCCATATTTCTGTAACATAGTGGGTTGTACTATATCACCAGAATAACTACTACGTAGCCAATAATTAGGAATTATTGCATAGTAATGATTTTTAACTATACCTTTACGGTCATGACAACAATCATTCCGTACTCAGTCTTAACTATGCAATTTGGTAATTATTGCATAGTGATTGACATATGGGATCATAATTATTTTCGTCTAGGATTTATCGGATGCATAAAATAAGAAGTACTATGTAGGACAGTAGAAGTAAGTATGGCATATACTAATAGTAATTACCATTGAGGGTCTTACTATTCCTCATAGTAATAACCGACAGCCCTTGGCATAGTTACCCTCACGAGAGGCCAGTGACATTTACAATATGCAGATTCCAACGTAAACATTTACAATGTTCCATTTTCTGTAGTTCGAAACATACTAATGATCGCATAGTAGTTACTTTGTGTCATGATGATTGTCAACATTCCATAGTACCAACAGAATTAGCAAAATACGATCTACTATCCTGCATAGTAGAACTTAATAGATAGTAACAGTAAATATAGTGCTATTACCATTTACGGATGGGTCTCACTATCCACTATGGCTCTATTACTATAGCAACCGTTGTACTCATTAGGTGTCGACAGTTACTATGTGTGAAGTACGACGTGGGAATTTGAACAATTTCATTTTCTCCGTGCAATAATTCATTGCAATGCCCTCTCTCTCGTGTTTACGGTATCAATGTAGATACAGTCATTGGAGTGCGAGTTGTATAAGCGTGTCATATTATGAGTTATGGCATTAGTAACCACTTAACCGGGTGCTAACTATCCTTGTCACACGTTAGTCCCTCATAAGTGTATGCAACGTCATCACAACGTTCGTGCATCAATGCTTGAGATTAAGTGGACGGGGTAGAGATGCCGCAATGAGGGGAAGCCGAGATTAAAACCAGTTTGATGGAAAGTGGCCAATGAACAAAGGTCGACTGGAGGACACTGACTGTTCCGTCATCTTCCCTTTCGATGGGGCTTTATCATTATCATCATTCTGATAAGCTGATTCCCACACCAAAATCAGTTCCTACTCTCAGAAAATCTCTCTGTTCTAGGATTAAATCAGGATACCACTATTCAACTACTATCTTAACTATTTTGTACACCAAAATCTGGCAGGTTTCATCGAGGAATGATTTCTACAGACATACATCTGCCTCTCACACGAGCTCTTCAAAAATATTAGTCTATTGATTTAAACTATTTCTTTCATGAACCAATTTCGTTTTCTAATAGAAGTCTTATAACGTCAAGAAATTTCCTAGAGCCATAGTAGAAAAATTCTCAACAAAATCAAGTGGAAAGGTTCTAAAAATGATAGGTTGTAGAATAATTTCTACAGAAATTAGTCTGCCTCCCACGTGATTTCAAAAATACAAGTCTATTGACTTTTTCAGATGCAACAATCACTTAACAAAATAAAATAAAGCTTCACAGTTTCTTCTAAAAATCCCTAAAAACCAATTTCTTTTCTGTTAAATTTTGGGGTTTTTTCCCAGGTTCAAAATTCACTCTTCCAATGTTTCTATATTTCCGGATTTAGGAAATATTTATTCCTTTGTTGCTGTGGGACCTTTTCTTCATGTTATAAAAAAAAGGGAAATTCCTGGAGGGACTTTCTCAGTGTGGGTTTTTTCCAAAATACATCTGGTGACCAGAGAAGGTCAAAAATGTCAATGTCAAAAATTGAAGACCAAGGGTTGAGGGTAGAAGGAGAAATTATATTGCCCTCTGGAGAGAAATTTAATGTGGGCCTCACTAGTAATGTTTAGTTAGTTCGTTGCAAGTCTTCTTTCAGTATAGTACCTCTTGATTGTCTAGACTCTAGAGTAGGATAATTCTAAATATCAATTCTCAGTTTTCAAAATAATCAAAGTGTTGGTTATACTTTCTAAATAGTATTCGTATAGAGTCAAGAACCGTTCAATACCCATAATAGAAAAGTTTGCTAAAAAAACCAGCGAAAAATGTTTGAAAGATGGAATCCAGCAAAGATGTGCGGATCTTCACTGCAGCTAAAAAACTTGAAGAATTTATAGCAACAAATTTTTATATTAATTAACGTGAGACCTCATTCCAGTGGCTCCCTTCCGCGAATCGCCTATGATTTCGCGCTATTTCTTGTGCTACAAAAGTGGCGCCTGGTAAATGATGCCCCCAACAAATAGCTACTGAGGAATCATGAAGGACGAAGCTACGAGGTCGGCCAAGAGGCCGGTTGTTAGCCCCTCATGGGTAATATCCTAGTAAGAGAAATAATAGCCGACTTGTACCCAAGAGGTGGGAAATATATCTTATCGCTGAGTGGCTCTGAGCTACTGCACACAGATATATCCAACACCATTCGGATGAGTCTCAATTCTCCCACCATCAGACAACTACCTGTCTCCACCAGATAGATTGACATACTATTATTTATTTTACCTCCTCCCCTACTGGATTTTCACTTTTTTCCACTTCTCATTTAAATGGTCTCCAGCACTCGGGCAAAAACACCAATCACCCCAGTCTGGCTTGGCTACTCTTGGTGACTAGGTACCAGTGATGACTTGGAAACTGTTGTCTTTGGTATCATTGGCCTCAGTATACAATACCATAGTGTGAGGAGTGGAGGAAGGAGGAGTAGACGAAGAAGACGCAGAAGGAGAGCCAGAGGACGAGAGTGGAAACACCATCCGAGTATTTCTGACCCCTCGGGAGTCGTCGGTGACCAGTCTTGGTGATCACAGCCCACTCTCAGCTCTTCCAGGATCTCCACATCTCCACTTGGTCCATTCTGGAGGTCAGTAAACTCGAGATTATAAGAGTCAATCAATTATGGGGACCAACCACCCACCGAGATAACGCCGTTTTCATGTTTTGCGGAATTATTCAATTATCTCGAAAATAATTAGTTTTACAGGGAAATTTATAATTGGCTTTTTTGCCGAGAATTTGAAGGTCGATAAATAAGTACTTTTGGGTTTTTTTCGTTTTGGCGATAATTTTCGAGATAAATCGCGGGTTAGGGGCAATGTTGATGGCAGAGTGGGCCATTGCAATATTTTTCGTAATTATGCAATTATCACGAAAATAATTAGTTTTAGGAGAAAATGTATGATTACTTGTTTTGTTCAGAATTTGAAGCCTGAGAAAAAAGTACTTCAGGGTTTTTTTGCTGAATCGATGGTTTTCGAGATAAATCGCGATTTATTAAAGTTTCGAAAGACGCTTCGCCAACTCTGACATTTTCGTAATTATGAAATTATCTCGGAATGAATTGATTCTACAAGAAAATGTCCAATTTACTTTTTTGTGAGAAATTGAAATCTCAAAAAAAACGGTCTTTACAGTTTCTCTGGTGGAGTCGATAGTTTTCGAGATAAGCCATGAGTTAGGGAAGATGTTGAGCAGAGACTAATCCTTTTGATCCTTTCTCGTAATTATGCAATTATCTCCAAAAGAATTGATTTTAGAAGGAAATGTATAATTACCTATTTCGTAGAGAATTTAATCCTCGAGATAAAAGTACTCTTGGGATTTTTTAATCGAGTCGATAGTTTCCGAGATAAATTCCTTGGAATATACAGCGAACACCTGATGCTCGTCGTAAATAGAATCCTCGATCATACTGGTTTACACATGATTACACGTTACGAATAAATGGAATTGGTTGTAACGCAAATGCGTAAACTTGACGGAAATTTGATACGGCGGTTGATTTATCAAGGACGTGGGCGGTTTAAGAGTATCAGACTGCATGTTGCACAGAAAAAAAATTATACTGAAATTTATCCTGACATTGCCGCAAATATTGCAAGTATTTTTATTAAATTAGCACGTCTACTGAATTTCTCTCCATAAATGTTATTGTTACTCTCAGGTAATTTCTCATTTTACAATTACAATGCAAATTGCAATTTTCATCAGAAAAAATTACAATATTTTGTCAAAAAATTACCAAAACGATTTGAATTAATTCTGATTACTTTCGTTTCATTTATTATTAACAATCACTTTTGATTTTAAATGAAAATAAAATTTCGTGAATTTGTGAAAAAATTATTTTGTAGAATTTTTCAAATAATTGATCATCACAAAAAATGAATTAATTTTTATCATCATTTGTATTCCATTTATTTTTAACAATCATTCTTAACTTTCGATGAAAGTCTGAATTTTTATTGGAATTACAATATTTAAGTGGAATTGATTGTTTTTTGAAAATAAAAATCTTATAAGTAGATTTTTGACAAAAGGATGTTATCACTAAAATTTTGTCATTATAAATCCCGGACTTCAACAAAACAAAAAATTGGCAAAGACTCGGTCATCGCTAATTCATCGAAATTACCGGCGGATTATAGCGTGACTGATGCGAATTCGTAATGGGACGACAGGTCGTTATTTTTTTCATGTTTTTTTTCTGTCAATTTTTAATCCCCGGATTTTTTCACGGATTTGGGAATTAACGGTTGGAATTACGGACGGATGAAGAGAGACTTTTTATCGTGAGATGTGCGTACGGCAATTATTATGTGAATGACGATTAGTAAACAGTTCGGTGTGCGCAAGGTTTTTACAACTATTAATAGACGACTTTCTGACGTGGGAAAATCCGTTATATATGAGGTGGTAATTGGTGATGGGGGAGGGTCTTGATGGGATTTAAGACGTCATATCATCGTATTGTCACAAAAAAATCTCCAGGAACAAAAATCCCCGAAATTCCCGCGTTCAGCAAATATTTTTAAATATCTAATTTTTTTAATTACACGGAAAATTATTGAAATAAATTCTTAAATTCGTCCTAATTTAAATTTGAATTTTTGGAAATTTTTTAAATTTTTGGATTACGTTTTTTATTATTTTCAATAACGAAATCTGCAGACTATTTGAATTTACAGCAATTTTAAACAATAAATATTTTTTAAATAAATTGTTTGTCTTAAGACATTTTTAATTAATTAATTCATGAATTTAAGGCATTATTTTTTGGTTGTAAAACCGTGAATTCCAGAGTTCTTAAAAATAATGAAATATTTATGTAATTTAAAAGATTAATTCTGTAATTTTAATTTTCCGGAAGAAAAACAGAAGCCAAAATGCATCATCTTGATAACCAAAAGTAAACACAAATTATCATTCCCCTCAATAATAACGATAACCCACGAATTAATCTCGAATTAATTCTCTCCAATCAACTCAGCACTTCCCGCAATTAATTCTCATTTTCTTGGCACATAAAAAAATGCAAAATCATTTAATTATTCGACAGCAATTAATCCCAGAAATCGTGCAGTCCCGCAGAGCCCGAGGGAAAGAGAATTATTTAATTATTCCACGAGCCCCTCACGAGAGAAAAATATTAATGATGTTTTTCCACTGATTTGAAATTTAAAAAATTGTTTACTCCAACGGAATATCAAAATGATTTTCCGTGTATTGAGGAATTACAGCACTAATTAATCCGGAAGTACAACTCGGTAAATGTTGATCTTCCAAAGATATCAAAGCAGTACAAATTTGCCAGACGGAATTACTCCCTCGATTTATAAATAATCTAGTATTACTAATATTCCGAGTGACTTTAGACAACAAAGAATCATTTGACTCCAACAGGTGATTACATCCCACGAGAGAATTCTAGTACTTGCGTTGAAAAATTCAAGGAGAGTACAAAGTGCGTTGCATTGCGTTAATCGATTCTACAACCTGCAAGTTAGTGAATGAAGGATTTCCCTTCACTTCAAATTGCTTTGGACAGATAAATAAAAAATAAACGTCTCGTGAAAAAATATTTAGTTGATTAAAATCCTTGGAGACGATTTTTGAGGCGTCAATTTCATTTCGGGTTTTAGGTCACCATTATCTCGAGATCTAAGGCAGATTGCGGAATTTTTGTTATGACCTTTTTTATAGCGGCCAATCTGATCAGCAAAAAAGTATATCGCCGAAATTACGGTATCTCCTTTGGATTCGGAGATATTACCGGTTTACCGTTTCATTGCGGAAAACTTGTCGTGGAATTTTGAGCAAAAAATTGTTGCAGAAATCGGAATTAAAAATCTGCAAAAATCATGATTCATTAATTGAATTTCCCCTGCAATTAACAAACCCCTAAAAATTTATCAAATCCTTCATAAAAATCGGTTCAACCGATTTTCGCGAATGCAAAAAGTAAAATTCTGTAAAAATTTATTAAATCGCGTGAGATTTCCCCAACAAATTCCTCATTACCATTAACATTCTCACCTCCGACATGATCCCTAAAAAATCCGCTAAAAAATCCGCTAAAAATCCCTAAAAATTTATCAAATCCTTCATAAAAATCGGTTCAACCGATTTTCGCGAATGCAAAAAGTAAAATTCTGTAAAAATTTATTAAATCGCGTGAGATTTCCCCAACAAATTCCTCATTATCATTAAGATTCTCACCTCCGACATGATCCCTATAAAATCCGCTAAAAAATCCGCTAAAAAATCCGCTAAAAATCGGTAACCATCCGTGGAAACGATGGTTCACCCCTAAAAGAGAGAAACGAAAAAATGCAGACTAAAATGTCACGGTGAAATGACGAAAGCCCCGGCAAATCGTCAATGACCAATCGAAAAAAGTAGGACATTTATTTCAGTCCTCAGTCCAGCAATTACAGTCAAGATAAACATGTAATGGGGGTAGCCCATGATAAATACAGGTATACCGTTACAGAGTCGGTAGAGGAGTGCTTTCAAACAACAGAGAGAGAAAAAAAAAAAGTATCTGAAGAGCTGGTATCAGTGGTCTTGCTTGATGATTTGCTTGGGCATCATCACGTGGTTCTGTTTGAACGAAACCACCAGAATTGCGGTCTCTTGGGTGTCAGTTTGTCATCAGCTGCGGCCAACAAACATGTGCCATGACTTGTTATTGGCCTGAATTTACTTTATTCTCGGTTAACACCAGCCGACGGTCTAGAGATGAGGGACTAATAAAGAAATTATAAAATCAATTTGCTTGGTGAGTCATGGGGATTCTTTTCAATTAATCCTTCGTCGCCATCAATTGTGTCGTGATTTTGTGTTTACGTTGGAATTCATGTGTTTACATCATCCGGAAAATTATCGAATTGACGTGTAAGCACGCACTGAGATCATTCAATTGAAATTGTGCAACTTCTCCCCTGTTATGTTGAATTTCATTTTTTCACCAGTTTCCTGGGAAAATGGGATTGAATTGTTTAAAATGGAAGATATTACGTTGAGTAATTAAGTTAATTATGGAAAATTCATTTTCTTGGCGAAGGAATTTTTATGGATTTTAATTTCATTGGATAATTATTATTATGTTGTAAGTTTTATTGCGACTTTTAGATAAAATTCGAATCATTCAGACTATTGTATGTTAGGTTTTTATATTGACCATTTTTTAGTTGAATTTTCCGTGGAAAATTGGGATAGAATCATTGAAAATGGAAAAAATTATGTTGAGAAATGAAATTAATTCTGGAAAATTCATTTTCTTGGCGGAGGAATTTTTATGGATTTTAATTTAATTGGATAATTATTATTAAAGTGTAAGTTTTTTGCGACTGTTAGATAAAATTTAAATCATTCAGACTATTGTTTTTATATTGACGAATTTTTAGTTGAATTTCCCGTAAAAAATGGTGATAGAATCATTGAAAATGGAAAAAATTACGTGGAAAACAGAAATTAATTCTGGAAAATTCATTTTCTCGGCGGAGGAAATTATCTGGATTTTAATTTAATTGAGTAATCATAATTATATTGTAAGTGTGATTGCATTTTTTTGTATATAAAGTCAAGGGTTTTTATACTGTCGAATTTTTAGTTGAATTTCCCGTAAAAAATGGTGATAGAATCATTGAAAATGGAAAAAATTACGTTGAAAACAGAAATTAATTCTGGAAAATTAATTTTCTCGGCGGAGGAAATTGTCTGGATTTTAATTTAATGGAATAATTATTATTATATTGTAAATTTCATTGCATTTTTTGAATAAAATAAAAATCAGTCAAACGATTCCAAAAAATCTAGAGTTTTATATATATATTATATCGACGAATTTTCAATTGAATTTCCCATAAAAAATTGTGATAGAATGATTGAAATCGAATTTAATTACAGTAATTGAATTTGAATCGACAAATTAATTCTCTTGGCAGGGGAAATTTTCTGGATTGAAATTTCATTGGGAAATTACTGGAAAATATCAGAAATTTTGTTGGATTTTTCAGACAACATCAGAATCACTCGGACGATTGTATAAAGTCTAGAGTTTCGTATTGACGAATTCCGTGAGAAGGAAAATGGCTCGAGGAAAAATGACGAAAACAAAACTAGTTCCACCGGACGGTGGATGGGGATGGGTTGTCCTGGTATCAGCGTTATCAGTGAATTTCCTGATCCCAGGAACCGTAAAATCCTTCGGTGTCCTCTTTGTTGAGTTTCTCCAGGTCTTCAAGGCATCACCCACGTCAGCATCCTGGATGCCTGCTCTCTGCTACTTCCTCTACAGTTCGCTGGGTAAATATTTTTCATTAATAATAATATAATTCAACAATAATAATTGATTATTTAAACAGAAAATTTTTTCAATCCGAACATTTTTTTAGTGAAGTTTCACTCACATTGAGATCATTGACTAGAAGAAGACCATTTATGAATTTTTATATAAATTTTGAGAATTTAAAATTTGGAAGATATATTTGTGCAGCAATGATTAATACATAATTTTTTTTTGTAACGAAAAAATCGAATTTCCGCGTTAATTATTCGATATCTTGTAAGTCCCAAAAAAAATCTTCCATTGACAAAATCTGATATTTCAAAAACTAAATCTAGAAGACTCGCCTACAAAATAACCCGAAATAATGAAAAGATCAAAATTCAAAATAATCGGAGTGTTGTAAAAAAAGTTAAAAATTTCGCAAAAAATCTTCTTGTTTTAGACACGTCAAAATGATATTTTTCATACAATTAGAAATCTTGAAAATTATTATATAATAAAATCTGCATAAAATATTCAAAAATAGAAAATTTAAAGCCAAAATTCAAAAATCAAATTACAACTGCCAAAATTTCTCAAAATGTAATTCTGACGAAAACGCGTTGAAAGATAAAATGATTGATTGATTTCGAAAATTCGTCAACAAAAAATATTAAATCCAGATTCTTTTTTCTTTCGAATAAAAATGAAACTTAATGATTAAATATCAATCAGTCGCATAAATACTTGATTGAGGCCTTCCTCAGTGTAATTTAACGCCCCGAGGCCTCCCCATCCGCTAATTCCACACAATTTTTATTTTTATCCACCAAAACAGGACCACTATCCAGCGTTCTCTCCATGAAATATTCCTATAAAACTGTTACGCTAATCGGTGGAGCCTTTGCCGCCAGTGGAATGATGCTCAGTTACTTCGCAACTTCCGTGTCCTACCTTTACATTAGGTAAGAAGAAAATACCGCAAAGCGCGCACTAAAAATTGTATATCTACGATATATCTGAATAATATCCGAATATAACTAGATATATTTTCATCCCAAAAGAATATGTCCGAGATATATCGAGGATATACTTAAGATATCTAAGATATATCTAAGATATACTTAAGATATCTAAGATATATCTAAGATATACCTAAGATATATCTAAGATATATCTAAGATATATCTAAGATATACCTAAGATATATCTAAGATATACCTAAGATATATCTAAGATACATCTAAGATATCTAAGATATATCTAAGATACATCTATGAAAATATATCTAACACTCATATAATGTAAATATTTGATATATCTATGGAAATATATCTAACGCTCATTTAATGTAAATATTTGATATATCTATGGAAATATATCTAACGCCCATACAATGTGTATATTTGATATACACATAAGATATACATGTGATATATTCTCGGTTGAAAATTTTGTACCTGGGGTATATCTTCGGGATATATACGTTGGGAAGTAATTTTCGTAAATAATTCACAATCTTCTCTACTTGAGGAAAAATATTTCTTTGTAATTTAGATTGTGATCTATGAAGTGTTTCACGCATCTGCCCAACACTAAGGCATCCGGAGTTTTGTTAAGGATGTTCTGCCGGTATTTTGTTATTTTTCCTATTTTTCTGAGATTTATTGAAAACTATCGATCGGATTGGGATATGAAAATATCGCGTTTGTCCGTTACATCATGATTTATCCTTTCACAAAGTTTCATTCCGATACACCAATTTTTATAATCTTTCACTAAAATTTATTGATTTTTTATTATGTTACAAAATTTTATGTTACAAAAATTAGTGTATTGGGATGAAACTTTATGAAAGAGTCAATCATGATGGACCAGACAAATGCTATATTTTCATATCCCTTCAGAAAAACAGGAAAAATAACAAAATACCAGTAGAACATCCTTAAACACCTGGTGAACAAAAGAACCCGAAATAATGAAAAACTCAAAATTCAAAATAGTTGCAGAGTCTTAAAAAAAGTTAAAAATTGCGCACAACATCTTCTGGTTTTAAGCACGTCAAAATTATATTTTTCATATAATCAGAAAACTGGAGAATTATTATAAAATAAAATCTACATAAAATATTAAAAAATAAAAAATTTTAAGCCAAAACTAAAAAATCCAATCGCTCTGATTCGTAATCGATTTACAACCGCCAAAAATTCCTCAAAATGTAATTTTGAAAAAAACGCTGAAAACTAAAATAATTTATAAAAAGTACTATTCGTCCCGTTATTAACGTACGTTTATCGGAATTAAGAGACTTAATTAAAGAATCTCAAAATTATTTAATGATACAATATCGTTCCTGGAAGGCGGAAGAGAAATTGATTTTACCCATTCCTTTCACAATTCGTATCTCCGGTACGGCGTGTGAATCATCGAATTTTTTCATTTCATTTGAATAATTAAATAAATATGTGTCTATCCCTCCGGATGGAAAAATATATAATCGTACTGAGACACGAGTCAGTTGAGAAGTATTTTGCGTAATAAAATCATTCACAATCTCTTCTACTTGAAACAGAATCCATTTTTTTTTTAGTTAGCTTATTTAGTTGGATTTACCTTTGAAGTGTTTCACACATCTGCCCAACACTGATCAAATCAATTTTACAATGAAGCATTATTTATCGCAAATTACCGTACTTATTCATATTATCAAAATCTTTTTTTTTTAATGCTTATTTTACATCGCTTCGAGTCGGAGGAGACTATGTGGCGATTGATCAAGACTTTTTTGAACCTGGTTAGATCTCACCAGTCTACCCGGCCAGGAATCGAACCTGGAACCTATCCGTTGTGAGGCAACAGCCGTAACCACTACGCCAGGCCACCGGGCCAATTATCAAAATCGATTAAAAATACATAAAAATACATAAAAATACATAAAAGAACATAAAAATTATTTAATGAATTTAATGAATTTAATTCATCACTCGCTGAAAAAGGGAGAGAAATAAATTTAACTCTTAATTTGTTGTTCAATAATTATAGCTGAGATATATTTTTTTTGTCGGTATTATAGAATGATATTTAAAAACATTATTTTTAATTTCTTTTAAATTTTAAATTTTTATTCAATTTTAAAATTATTTAAAATTTTAAAAAATATATTTTATTATATATCCAAAATATATCACAGATAAAGAATCTTTTGCTGAAAGGTTTGCGACATCTATCCCGATCTAATTGATATATATTTCTGGATATACATTTTTTTCATGTGAATCAAGTAAATTCCCAACCCCTGGACCTATTGCTGATGAATTAATCAATTAATTAATTAATTAACCCGCCAGCTATGGAGTTATGGTGGGCATTGGTGCAGGCTTGACTTTTCCACCGACTGTTTACATCGTAACCGGATATTTTGAGAGACTCCGTGGTTTTGCCACTGGCCTCTGCATCTCCGGAAGTGCAATTGGAACAATTGTTCTTCCACCGTTCCTGCAGTTTCTCCTGAATCACTTCGGCCACAGGTAATTACGTTTTCAATACTCTAATGAAGCACGTGATGCCCAGTCCTCTTCCGTTCAAAGAAAAATGAGACATCGTGTACCTTCCGGCAAGAGGAAATGGAAAATCTCGACGTTTCAGACGATTCTAAATGATTTTCAGGAAAATTCATTAGGGAAATGATAAATTAGGGTGAGTCCATCTTTTTCGAGGCCAGTTTTCAGTCGATATCTCGGAATTGAAGGTACCTAGCTAATTTTTCGTAGAAACATTTTTTGTAGAAAAAGATGGTAGCTAGAGAAAAGGTTCTTATGGAAAAGTCATTATCTGCCTTCAATTCCGAGAAATCGGCTGAAAACGGGTCTTGGAAATTTATGAGGCCTTTTTGCTAGTTTCACGAGAAGGAAATTTTAGGAAAGAGTGAAAATCGAGTTTTCAGATGATTCTCGATATCTAAAGATAAACATTTGACACTAATTCTTTTGTTATAGAGTGAGTGATTCTCTAGAAATTTTGAGCCGAAAAATCGTGGATACATTTTTATGAGAAAAGATAAATCTTCATATTTCAAATGATTCTAAATCATTCGATTATTTTCTGACGTCAATTTCTTTTCAATTCTGACTGGATGGAATGATTCACTGGAAAATTCCAGCCAGAAGATTGCAAATAATTCTCGGTAATTTATAAACCTTAATTGAAAAATAAATCCGCAAAAATGTCCGCACGATTCTTCGAAATCATTTTTTTTTTCAACTAGATATTTGTAAATTTCCTGAGTTAAACCAGAAAAAAGGCCATCGACGTATCTATCCTCTGATAAAGACAGTCAATACGATTTTCCGAAAGTAGAAATTTTCCCAAATATATTTTATAGATTTATAGATTATAGATTTACAATAATTCGAACTGTCGAGATTTGCATTTTCCAAGATACCACAGTGCGACCTTTTGCCTCAAATTTCCCGGCGAATAAAAAAATAAAAAATGGGACTACGGTCTCTTGACCGGAGCACGCGAAATAATCTGAAGACCAAATAAATCCCGAACAAAACGCGATGAATTTACAAACAATTCAGTACCAACACGCGACACACATCGCAGTATGCCATTACCTCACTCCATCTTACATAAACCATAAAATCATTGACAATCTCCTCAAACAAAAGGACCGAAAAAAAAAGACAACAGTAAAAAAAAAACCCCGAGTACAAATAATCTCCTGAACAATTGTTCGTAATTCCAGAGGGGCAGTATTGATAATGGGTGCAATTACCCTGAATACCCTGGTGTGTGCCTTCCTCTATCATCCGGTGGAGGAGCACATGAAGGAAGTGCCCATTGAAGGAATCGACAATGAGGCATTGACTCTTGAGGAGCAAACAAAGTCCACCCAAATGATAATCGAAAATATAAACGAGATAAAGCCAGCGATTGTAGCACCTCAAGTGCACCTGGCAGATCTCTCAAAAGAGCTAGAGCGAAAACTCAGTGTCACCGAGACACCGGGACCAGAAGCCCCAACGGAGGTGAAATCTGAATCGAAAAGACCGGAGGATTTAAAGATCGTCCTGGAAGACGTCGATCTGAACACGAAGAATAGCCTGGACGAGTCGAAAGAGTTGAACGAATCGAACGAGTCGAATGAGTCCAACGAATCCTCAGAACCTGAAAAAGAAGTGTCAAAAACAATGACAGGTGTCATGACCCCACCCTTGAGTCGCGCTAATTCAACGAGAAAGAGTGTAAAGAGTGGATTCCACCTGTCCCGTCAGCACAGCATTGTCTCGGATATGGGACCGATAGCTCTGACTCCTCGCATGAACGTTCCCAATATGTTCAGAAGACTCTTCAAGACTCAGGAGAGGAAGAAGAGAAAATCCAGGAGCAATGCCAAAGCAGAGAGCCCGGAGGTGGCTAAAGAGTCATCTAGGAAAAACTCCAACACATCAGACAGCTCCAGCACCGAGAGCACATCATCCAGGAAGTTCTTTGACTTGTCTGTTCTCAGGGATCCTATTTACCTCGTCATCTTGATATCCAACTCAACATCGGCCATCAGCAACACGAATTTCATGATTCTATTGCCATCGTACGCCATCTCCGAGGGATTTGACAGGAATTCAGCTGCTCTGCTCCTGTCCATTGTCTCAGCACTCGATCTTGTTGGGAGAATTGGTGGAGCTTCGTTATCGGATATTGATTTTATACCAAAGTATTATTATTTTGTCGGGGGATTGGGCCTCAGTGGAATTGCCCTGGCACTTCTACCGATGGCCACGACCTACACCATGCTCTCGTTTTTCTGTGCTTTGTTTGGTCTGTCTTCTGGAATGTACATTGGAATTACTACTGTTATTCTTGCTGATATGCTGGGGACTGAGAAGTTGAGCTCTTCTTATGGAATCTCTCTGTTTGTTAATGGAGTACTTCAGCTTATTGGGCCTCCTGTCTGTGGAGTTATATATGAACATGTGGGGACTTATAAACCCATTTTTCTCGCTTTTGGAATTATTCTCATACTGGGGACTGCTCTCTGGGCTGCTGTTCCCATTATCAGGAGGAACAAGAAGGAGATCGATGTGGCTTGAGGGAAGGGCTGGGAAATTCTGGTCCTCCTAGGTTCAGGGAGATATTTCACGAGGGGAAAATTCAATTAGAAATTTAATGAATTCGGGGAAAAATTTCACGGAATTTCTGGGGTTTTCTGAAATTTTATTAGTTTATTCTTCTTATCATTTTATCAAGAAGATTAAACAAGAAAATTTGAAAATATGGGGAATGAAAATTCTATAAAATAGTTTCAACGAAATATTTCAATCGAATCATTCGACTGATTGGAAATTTGAGATAATTTTTCAACGAATTCGATAGGTTTTTCTGTTAAATTCTTTCACTCGTGTGTACAAAATTTTGTAAGGAAAGCCTAGAGTTATTGTATTGGAGTTTGGGAACATTTTTGGACTGGAGATGAAAATTCAACAGGTTTACATTTTTAATTAGAAATTCCGAGAGTGAAATGCAAGAGGAAAATGAGAGATTGAATTTTTTCTATAGGAAAATATTGAAAAATTTGAGGTGAAATTGTAAAAAGGAATATCTGAAGAGAACTCTAATAGAATTTCTCGGAGGAAGCACAAGGTCTTTCTATAACATTTTTTCATACGTTTTTAGCATGCCATATGGAAGTTAATTCATCTTATTATCGTAATATTCGTTTCATTATTTCAATTCAGCGTTTTTATCATTTGTATTTATGTCTAGTCATGTATGTTAAGGAATTGTACAAAAAGTATGGGGTCTTCAGGCGCTTCGAGTGCTCAGAGATAGTCCGTCCATTTCGGGGGGGATTTATTTGGATAGGGAGCTTGGTCTCTCATCTGCATTTCACATTTTGCAACTTTTATCAAATGAAAAATCGTCAGAGATTAAAGAATAATAACTGAAATCCAATCTAACGTGTGACTATCATAAGATATAAATTAACAGAAAAATCTGGCATTTTCCGGAAGAAATTCTATTCAATCCAATTAATTATTATTAATCTATTCAACAATCTATTAATATTCTATTTATAAATCAATGGATATAGTCAATAGATTTTCAATTATCTACAAAATTTCTTCAACGTAAATTGTCCTCGTCGTTAAATAGTAAACAGATATAATTGTTTTAGAGAAAATTATTAACAGAATTAGCAGAAGAAAGTAATTGAAATATTTAATAGAATTTCTTAGAGAAAGTCATAGGTTTTTCTATTAATTTGTTTACATGAATTAGAAAACTCTTATAAACAAAATATTTCAGCGACGTTTAAAAAAATAAATAAAAAAACGACTTGTCTGGCCTCAATGCCATTCATCAGAGACTATAAAAAAAACTCGGATGTGAATGGACTAATGAGAATTTAACGATTAGTGTATTCTTATGCTGCACTATTATGTACTCAAAATAAATTAATAATAATCGAAAATAAAAATCAACCAGAAATTTAATTATTGGAATAAGTGATTGTTCGATATATTGACGCTCTTCATAGATCGAATTTTTTTTTAATTTCATTAATTGATGTTTAATTAATAAAAAATAGTGCCAAATCTTTTCATCGAGAATTTTGCCGATTTTTTCGGCCTCTGGGAGCCCCGGAAAATTATAAACAATTAATCTCTTAGTATGACTCACTGTCACTTTAATTAACTGCACTGGTATGACTTAGATTAATCATAATTAAGATGTAATGGATTATTTGAAAATGTCTCTTGTGATTGCGTGTCGTACGTGTCAATGAATGAAACTTTATTTTTTCCCTGCAGTTTTTTTTTTCTCTTGCAACTCTTGACTTCTCAGTTTTATACATTTTTAATGAGAAATGGTAGGAGTAAACAGGATGAATGCAAATAAATAAATTGAGTGTATTATTTCATTTCGAATAATAATTTTAATGAATTACTGAAAATAATATTTCATCAACCATCTCCTATATCCATATCTACAAGAAAAAAAATTTCTTCTCTTCAACTCTATGATCGCAATCTCTACTTACAACCATTTACATGGCAAAATAATTATTCACTTGTCTGAAAAAGCACCTTCAATTAAACTGAATTTTACAGTTATTTTCATTTGAAAAATTCACGAATTCCCGTGGCATTGGAATTTTTAGTTAATCAATTGGGGAATTAACAAAAATATCAGTTTCATTTTAATTTGGAAGTAAAGGAAATTTAACTATTTACAAATTTGTTCCACTGGACAATTCTGTCCTTTTTTCAATCTTTCAATTCATATTTTGGCTACTGATAGTCACGCGTGAATAATTTCAACAGAAAAACGAATTTATCAAGAAATTCTATTCGAATTCTCGAAAAAATCACATTTTGTTAAATTTGTTGTATCATGTCTTGACTTTCCAATTATTTGCACTGTATTTTTATTTTCCTCATAATAAAATTCAAAAAATGGAAATTCTATTCTAGTAGAACTCTTGAAGAACTTCAATAAATTTTTATAAACTTCCAATAGAGATTCAATAGAATTTCTTGTAGAAACTGTCAGGTTTTTCTATTAAATATTTTCACGTGTAATTCGTTTGTGAATTCTTAATTCATGATCTACACATTCACATGAATCTAATTATTACTCAACATTTCGCGCAATGCAGAGGAAATAGCCGTCCACCGATAAATTTTTTAGTTGAATTCAATGATTTGTGTCTTCTGAGATATTGTGATTGTTTCATTGGACAAAAAATAATCACCTGAACTATTTCAACAATTCTAACTTTATGATGATTCTTCTTACAGCTAGTCATTTCTCCATTGCTTTATATACATTTAATAATTTGCACCTGAAAATGAAAAAAAAAAAACAATTACTACAATTATTATCTACATAAATTGAGAATGAAAATTCCAAAATTAATCAGGAAAATCATGAACTTTCTCTAGAAAATTTTATTGAATAAAAAGGACTAAAAAGGAATTCCGAAAAACAATCAATAGAATTTTTCAGAGAAACTGTCAAGTTTTTTTTTACTATTTTTTTGGCTTTAGGTATTAATTAATTGGTCAATATTTCACCGTGAAAATTTCACAGAGAAGTTTCACATAAAAAAATATTTATTCTTCATCATTAATTATAATAAACAAAACACAAGAAACTGTGAGATAGGGAATTTCATTGGGGAATTTTCCACCGAAGAAAATAATTCATTTTTATATAAAAATGAATGATTTATTCAGATAAATAAAGTAAATTTACCAAAAAAATACAGGCTGAATAGAAGTTCCTATCAGACACCAAAAATTGTTCCTGTGATCCCCTTATGGTGCTACATCCTTCCTCCCAGCGAATGGTACAATGCTACGAATTCCCTTAACAGACGCCTAAAATTTGAAAGCAAATCGGAGGATCTCAATTAATAACGCAGTTTAATCCGTCAGCCCCTTAAAACAATGGGACAATTGTATGCGGAGAGTTGAATGGAATAATTACCTTCTTCTTGGATCCATTGAGAAAATCCCTGTACATTTCTGAGCGCAGATATCTCGCATAGCTGTCAGTCTTCATGAGATGATAAACATGGGCGGCAGCAACATCGAAACTCCAACGATCTGGCTTTTCCAAATTTCGTTTTGTCAGCTCGAATGATCGGGAGTCAACGTTGATTGGACAGCTAGCGTCTGGTCTCAGGTATTCATTCCATATTTCTTCAACTTTGGCCTGAACGTCACGCTGAGGTAGTGTTTTTAAATTTTGAACAGCCTCCCAAAATCTTCAATTAATAATAAATAAATCAGCCATTATCAATAATTGATTCCCTTCAATCCAATAATTGATAAATTATCAATAATTTCTTCAGTAATTCTGAGAATTCATTAAATTAAATTTGATAAAGTGAGAAATTACTTGAGGTTTTCACTGCTATATTCCATCTCCAGGAACTTGACGAATTGTTCTTTGCCAATGGGATCCTGCAGCAGCTCCTGGAGGCTAAAGCCCCATCTCTTAACTCTCCTCGCTGAAATGTCTTTCCTAAATCCAAACAAAATTTTATGTTCCCTCAATGATCCATTTACCCAATTAAACTTCTATTAAGTTAATTACTTATATTATATAAACAATTAATTTAATAGAAAATATTTATATTATAATTTAGAATTAAATAACGTATTTTCTGATATGTAATTTATTTCCGCAATGAGACAATTGTTGATATTTCTTGTTCTTATCTAGCAGGAAGTGACTAATATTATTGAGCGGCTACTCACTCCCGAATTGAGTGACACCACGACTTCATTTTGAAGTCGACTTCAAATGAATTCAGTCATAATTCCGGTAATTGCAGGGGGAACGTGATTTCAGTGACGTCAAGCTTCAGAATCAATGACTTCACGACTTCAAACGACTTCATTTAATTTAAATTTTGTAGTCAACGATTGCAGTTAAAATGAAGTCATCGCAATCACAACAAATATAATTCGAGAGAATAATGAGATAATTATCGTAATTAAACTTTTTATTAATACACTCGTTGTTTTTGACGCAAGGCTCGTCGATTTTGCCACGTTTAAGCGAATGAGTCAACTCCTGGAAAAATGGGGGAGAGAGGGGCTTTGTTTTGTTCTGCTAAGCGTTTAGAGAGAATTTCTTTTCGGTGCGAAATTCAAACTACAATTATATTCAAGAATATGCGATTTAGGATTTCACTGACTGCGAGTGATTTCAATGTTTTCAATTGATTTCTAATGGACTTCAAATTGATTTCACTTGATTTCAGTGACCTCTGTTGATTTCAAATCGACTTCAAATTGATTTCACCACCGAGTGACACCATGACATCAAGAGTGGGGAATCCCCCGAATACTACATCGAAATCTTGGGCATTTAATGAATTGAACCTCTTCAAAACATAAAATTAGTGATTATTATGATATATCCCGACCTGAAGGTGTATGATAATAAAATTCATTTGATAATTGGTTAATTTCAATTCATCAATCATTTCATCAATCAATCATTTCAACGTGTGGTAAGGTACTACTAATCTCACTAGCGCCAGCGTTACACAGGGTTCGCGACAGGGACGCGGCTGGTATGAACCCCACAAAGATCATAATATGATCTGGTCAAGCCCTTCTAGTTATTCGTCTAATTGAGTCCGGCTCAATTTTTGATCTCGTACCCCCTAGCTTATGGGTTTCGTAGTGAAATAATCCATTTTTTCCCGGGAATTCGTTTTTCGCGTTGATATCTAAATTAAATCATGAAAATTCAATCATGATAAGTATTTTTAATCAATTTTTTAATGAATATCGGGCCCTCAAATAACAGTAAACTGATACAGGAGATCTTCAAATTTCTGTGAGCCGCCAATTACTAACCCATCCGCTTTTCATTTTTTCTTTTTTAATGAATATTAATTTATCCGTTCTTCAGGAAGAATGAACAAATTTTTAAATAACAAAAAACTCTTTAAAAAATCCATCGGCAACTGATTTAGGCCTTGAGAATAAAGAAACGAAATTTGAATGCATTTTATTGAAACGGGGAAATTTTGCGTTAAGTCGGAGACCCAAGAGAAGGACCCCATGGAGTGAATGGGCACAGTCGGAGAACAATTAGACATTGTAAAAAATGTCTGCTAACTGGACACTTCTTTTATTGTCTTCCAACATTGCATATTTTCGTATATTATTGTCCCGTGATTTGGGAGTTTATATTATATTGTATGATATTCAACTTATTAAATTAGATTCTTTGAAATATCAAACATTCAACAAAAGTTGTTACATTATGTTGAAGTACGTCCTCCACAGGCAGTAACTGAGTCATTAAAATTCGAGAATTTTTAAACTAGATTTTACAGAACATACAAAATTAGATAAATTCTTACGCAATTTTCTCCTGCTCCCACAACTCGGTACTATCCGATATCCACGGATTATTGAACTCAGGCTGTGTAAACAATGGATCGTACTCAACGTATTGTTCGAAGTAGCCAATCAATCTGGAAAATTGATTAGAAAATTGTCCATGTAACAGATGTATTGTTGATTCAACTAGTGTAAAGCGTTATTACGATCAATTAAAACTCACGCCTCAGCAACTTTGGAGACCTTGATGTTCCTTCTGTCGAGTCGTTGTTTAAGCATGTCTATTTCCCGTTGTATACTCTCACTCGATAGTGTAATATCCGCATCCGCATGAGTCGGTGATATTCTACCACCAGCTACACCCAATTGGAGATGTTTACTAGCTTTTACCATTGGTTTGTTTGTTCTGCAGGCTTTCTTTATATCCAATTCCGTTGTGTTAACACAGCCAGGCTAAAGTGAAATTTAATACTCGATCATTATCCACTATTAATCGTGTGGCCACATCAATATCGGTAATTAATTACATGGTGAAGAAGGACCACTCGATTTCGCTCAGATTTTTTTTTCCGTTGGGTTTTGGGGCCCACGGGAAACACCAATTGTTTTACACGGATAATTTTCATGGAGCAAGATGAGCAAATCGGGCCGAAGATGATTAGAGTTTTCTCACGAGGTGGTTATTGATTACTATCACATCATCAGGTGATAATTATTCAAGTTTACAAATGTCACAGGAAATGAGCGAAATGAGCCAAATGCGCTACGGTGTGTTTATAATGTCTACATTATATTCATTTGCAGTGAATATAGGAAAATAGATGAATATTGGGAGTTTATAATGCGTTCTGCACTTCCCAAGAAATATGAGCGAAATGAGCGAAATGAGCGAAATGAGCGAAAGTTTTGTTTTAAATTTAACTCTGGCTTAACTCCTGGCAGATTTCAAAACTTCTAAACAAGAATGATTTCTATCACATTTTTTTCTGAGAGCGAAATGAGCGAGGTGAGCTAAATGAGCCAAATGAGCAAAATGAGTAAAATTAGAAAAAAATTGGGAAAAAAACGTTAAAAATCATATTTTCCGGTTTCCTTTAGTACTTATTGAAAAAAAATAATCACCATAGGCCTGTGAACGTCCCAAAAAGCTCGCTCCTGGCTATCCAATACTTTTCTCTCCAATTTATCACGTTTTTTATCAACTTTGCTCTGCGCCTCGGCCTGCATAAAAATAAATTCCCACTTGCGTGAAAACATCTTCTGCAGTCTTGCGAGATTCTCCGCTTCGTAATCGGCCAATTCCAATCGTGTTTTGTTCTGCATTGTGCGCTTACACAGGTAAACAGCTGATGAATAAATGGTCAATTATCGGCTGAACAATTTTTGATGGATCGGTTAAAATAAGTTTTTTCGGTTTAGATATTCATCAACGAACCGTAATCGGTATTCTCTGGCTCCCAACAGTTTGATGGCCAAAAGTAGGGCGTTTGAAATCGATAAAAAGTGTTGTCATTCTTTACAGTGAGGCAGTGATCGTCGATGGGAAAAAAGTAGCCATGGGAGGCCATCAAATGAGCTACACGTAGAGCCTCTTGATCATCAATGTCCATGTTCTTCATCATCCAGGCTATCAAGTCCGTACCTAAACTCAAACATTAACAAAACCCGTAATTGCCGTTCAATTTATACGAGTGAAGAAAATCAATAGATTAAATCCAACGGTCTCTATTGAATTCTAGAAGATGTTCTATTGAATTGCCATCGGAATTCTAATAGAGTTGCAATGAAAAATCCAATAGAATTCCCTGAAGAAAGGCTGGGGCTCTATTATTTTTTTGTACATGCAACCCATTTCCCTCAATTTACCAGTAAAAACCGAAGGAATCTTTGTCATGAATGTCTTGGCAGTTCTCACTGGGACACCATTAGTCTCGTCCAACATTTTCTCCACTATAGACTCCATCTGAAGAGGATAAAAAAAAGTGTTTAGATAGGGTCCATCGAGCTGTAAGACAGATGGATTCGCCGATATTTTTAGCAAAGGGGGTGCCCTAATCGATCAATTTCAACGGCCGAAACAGGGGACAAGTGAAAATGGTAAAATGACACTATAAAAGCTTTACACAAATACAAGTTGAGACGAAGGAAGATTTTTTAAAGAGATTGACAGCTCAAAGCGATCGATCAGGCGACCCATTTTTTTTTAATCTCTATTTTTCAGACTCGAATTCATCTCGTTTTATTATCCACACTAAAGAATTTTCTAAAATGAGAACTTCTGTTCTCCATTCACTGCCGCTGAATTTTTATTCTATTCAATCTAGGGAGAATGTAATTTTTTATACAACTTATTAGTTGAGAATTTGTTGACAGTAATGACTATATTGCATGGAATTGTCACCTTCTTGTAGACGACGTAGTTGGGACTGTCTTCGGCGCAGGTTGCAGTTGATTTTGGCCTATCGACGGCACCACTTTTGACAGTAGCATCCGCCGTCGTCGTTTCCTCCTTTCTCTTCGATGTCGTACCAATTCTACATTTACCACTGGCATTGTGTTGTTCATTTGTATTTTTGGAACAACTGCCGCTGCTGTCAATGGGTTTACGCCGACTGGCGGACTTTTCGGAGCTCATAGTTACCATATCCAGGCGCTAAGGGAGGTGCACCATTGCCCCTCTGTAATCAATTGTTTCATTTTTATCATCAGAAAATTCTAAAAATCCATGTATTTTTAATATTCAGCCTCGTTGAGCGAAATGATAAATTTAGGAATCATTCGCGTATGCAAATCTTTCGGAGCATTCCAAAATAACAGAGAGATCAATCACTTTTACGAATTTTTTTATGAGCGAAATGAGCAAATGGAGTTAATGAATAAGTATTCAGGTGCTAAGAGGGGTGTACCATTGCCCCCCTGTAATCAATCGTTTCATTTTTATCATCAGAAAATCCTAAAAATCCATGTATTTGTAATATTTAGTCTTGATGAGCGAAATGAGCGAAACGAGAAATTTATCAATCATTTGCGTATGCAAATCTTTTGGGGCATTCGAGAATAACAGAGGAATTAATCATTTTTACGAATTTTTTTATGAGCGAGATGAGCGAAAGAAGCTAATGAGCAAATAATCAGATGTTAAGAAAGGTACACCATTGCTTCTGTGTAATCAATCGTTTCATTTTCATCATCAGAAAATCCTAAAAATCCATGTATTTGTAATATTTAGTCTTGATGAGCGAAATGAGCGAAATGAGAAATTCATCAATCATTCGCGTGTGCAAATCTTTGTGAGATTTTCAGAATAGAAAACAAATGAATAATTTCTGCGGATTTTTTTATGAGCGAAATGAGCGAAAGGAGTGAAAAGATAAATCTATCAATCATTTCCGGATGCAAAAATTTTGGAATATTCCAGAATAAAAGAGAAGTCAATGATTTTTACGGATTTTATGAGCGAGATGAGCCAAATGAGCTAAATGAGTAAGTTCATGGACTGAATGAATTAAGGCACTGTTGCAACTAGCGAACGCCGAAAGATCAGAATGCATCGATTTTACAGATTTTCTGCAGCACTAAAATGTAAAAAAGAGCGAAGATGAGCGATAAAAATGAATCAGTGAAATTGGAGAACAGTTTATACAGCGAAATAAGTGAAAATAAGTTGATATATTAATTTGTGTCATCTATTTTAGAGTTTCAACAGTTTGAAGGGTTTTAACGCGCATAATCGCGGGGAGCAAAAAGAGCCAAAAGAGCGAGGTGAGCGAATTGAGCAGCAATGAATCTGATTTTCTCGTATTTTCATCTTGTTGGAGACCTGAGGTGCAGGCCATATCACAAAACCGTTCCGTACATTTTTAGCCAGAGCGAAATGAGCGAAGAGAAAAAAAATTTCCCGCGCATTTCAGCTATTAATTCCTTTTAGAACTTTGTCACGGGGTAAAATGCGCCAAAAATATCCCGATTCCTTCTGTTTCTCTTTCCAGAATACATCGGAATCCCAGAGATGCATGAGAATTTCCCCCATCTCCCATAAACCCCGCAAATCCACTCTCACGCTTCCCATTTTTCAAATACGAAAAATAAAAAAATCGCTCAATTCGTATCGCAAGCCCAGCAGACAAAGGTTTATTTTTTAAATCCAATTTCCCCGCTATTTTCCCAGAACCAAAGGCACATCCCACGATTTTCATTCCAAACTCTATCGACCCCTAGTAAATTATCTCTAAAAGCTCCAGCGGCATCAGATGATAGGAGGATAAAAAAGATAAATAATACGTAAATGAAAAGAGCGAGAAAGGTCATAAATTGATAAATTTCATTGTCGGAGATATTCATTGGTGAGATTTTTCCTAGTCGCTAGAGAGAGAGGAGACGATGAGTATTGATTACCAAGGAAAAGCACTCTCCTCGGTGCGCGTACCACGCCAAGTTATATAGTTCCCCTGCTATTACATATATACTGTATTTGCCAAGTGAACCGAGCGATCTACCGTTACGTATCACAGGTTTTACCCTACGATGTGTTAAAATGCGCGCCAAACTATTATTCTCTCACTCTTTCATCCAGCGGTTGAATCGTGGTATCTGTGCACCGGAGTTGGAGATATAACAATATTCCACTCTGGCCACCTGTAGTCTCTCCCAACTATCTCACCCTTTTCTATTTTCGTTTGGTATTCGCCCTTAGGCCTTTACAACACTCGTTACCAACGAATTGTCATGACCTCGTAACCCTTCGTTCTCCGGCCTTCCATATATTTTGGATGGACCGAGGGACTTAGAAAAAATGCAGCCAATTTTTCCATTTTTTACCAGTGAAATCTTTAAACTGTTGAGAAATAGTGGACGAAATTTGAAACTGATCGCGAGAACGTGCTATTTGTTATAATATTTTGAAGACAATATTTAATGCGCGTTCTCATGGGAGCTACCAAAAAGTGAAAAGATGTGAAAGTAGATGAAGAAATGCAGCCAAAGTCATGAAACTTCATACACATGTAGAATATCCAATTATGAATTATTGAGTAAAAAATTGAATAAATCGCGAGAGTTGTTTATGAGAAATTTAAAAAAAAACACGAAAAATGGGATTTTTCCCGTTTTCCCAGGAAAAAAATAAATTTCAAATCTTAAAATTCTCTTCCTCCGAATGAAAAATAGTATATTGCATATCAGCGGCGAGTAGTCACGGTCCGAAATGCAGACGTCATTTTTTTTTGTTTTGATGACCGAACGGAAATACTTTACGGCCGAGGGCGCAAAGTCGATTACTTTCAATCCTAGGGCGGAAAGTACTCGCCTCGTTGATTGATTGAATTTTATTACCGCACATTATGCTGTACAAAATTATTTTATGACGTGCTATAAACGATTCGACAATTTGATAGCCAGTTAATAATAATAGTAATAAAAAATGACAGATTCATGGCTCCGTGAACCAAAGGCAGTAGAAAGAAGGAAAAACGGAGAATAGCAATGAAAAATGTCCATGGAATATAGATAATAATGATCTATTGTCTATATTTTTCCAATTTATAAATATATGGAAAATTTCAATAGCCGTATAGAAATAATTCATTTAGCGAAATAGCTACAGTATGAAATAGAAAAGATTGATAAGATGAACTGAGATAGCAAAATGGAGATGAAAACTGAAACAAAACTGACTTCAGACGATAAATTCTCATGGGAATAACTGGATGCATTCCGGATGGTACAGAATAAAAGAAAACGGTAACAATATTATTCACAGAATTTCCTTGACTCAAATATGGAAACTGTTTTCCATCTATTTTTCTCGTTATCTCGCCAAAGGAATCAAGCCTAAAAAATGAAAAATCTATTCAAGAAATTATTTGAATAGAATAAATCATCTATCATCAGCTGAATTCTATTAATTATTTCCATCAAATAGTTTTTACTCAATATTTCAATAGATGAACAGAATTTTCAAACCGATCCACTAGGTTTTAAAAATTTTCGAAACCCTTTCACTGAAAATTATCGCTTTGAAATTTTTCTGGCAAAGTATCGATGCTGAAAAATTTATAGAAAAAGTATTGAAGTGGGGAAAATATATCCATGCCTTTTGTCATTCCAAAATTTTCGAAGAAAACCCAGAGAAAATTCCGCAGCATGATAATCACTAATAATACTAAATCACTATTACTTGAAGTTGTAATATTGAATAATTACATCTCAAGTCAGTGTTTAAAGAATATAATTACATTTTAATATAAATATAGCAACAATACGATGATCACTAATATAAAATAATATTGATACTCCATGAGTGATTAAATAACGATAAAACCTTATATTTTTCTATCGCAATTTTTGCAATTCTCCCCACAAGACGAAAATTCATGACTCACTATTAATTAACACTCAGAGCTAAAGGGAAGATATCACAAGTGGCTCCTTTGTCCGGATCCTTCCATTATTTCCACATGCAGTGCTGTTCCCCTCGTAAAATCTTCGAATGGCTTTCATTCAATACCGGCCCGCACGATTCCCCTGCAGAAGCAAAAAAAAAAAATATCTAAAAGAAAAAAAATAATAATAATGAAAAAACGGGGGAAAAAACGACTCACGAAAGAAAAGAGGATGACGTCACGTCTGAGGCCTTCCTGCTCACAATATATCCCACAGCAATAACATTTAATACGTCACTATAGCGATAGTTTCTTATGAAAAAGCAAGGCGTTAGAATTGGAATAACCGCACGCTATTTCTCTGACCCTCCGAATAATTCAGACGATTTAACAGTGAAACTTATCCTGATTTTTCTTTACCCTCGAAACACTATCTCATGTCTTGATTGTTCCATTAGGATGAGAAACAACGACTCGTCACGTTAAAACTCTCGTGCACAACTGATTATTCCGTTCGTTGCGCTGAGTTTATTCCGTCGTTTTACTGTACACTAATACAAGTACTGTACCACTGGTTTCACTGTACAAAGACCGCCCTTTTCCTCTTTCTATCGCGTACGAGTTATTCCCACACATTCTAATCTTCTACATGTGGTTCATTTTTTTTTAATTCTTGGACGGTCACAGTGTGGTGCACTCTATACCCTGATATTTCTCTAGTCCCCAGTTCTAGGAAAAATATTCACTGAGAGTGCGTTCAGGGAGAAGGGGAATCGTGAATAGAGGGGATGACGGGTTTTACAAAATTGGGGAATCAGGGGTTTTGGTTTTGGCTTTGAGCGAAATGAGCGAACAATTTTTTATTGGTTTTTGGATAATGTGGGTGTTTGTAAATCTTAGGATGTGGTGGAAATATTGAAAACTGTGGATTTTTAGTGAAGAGCGAAATGAGCAAAATGAGCGAAATGACCAAAACGAGCTAAATTATTTTATCACTACACAATTGGCTACTATGTCTTCAAAATTTATGTATCCACGCGATAAATTCTATCGATATCTATTTTCTTCGATATTTTATCAAAATGAGCAGAATGAGCAAAACGAGCTCACAGCCTCTTAATTTTCTGTACTTCAATACCAGATGAAGATAAAGACATCCACGAGAAATTGAGAAAGAAATCCGCGGGTATTTTGTGGATCAAATGAGCGAAATGAGCGAAATGAGCGAAATGAGCGAAATTAGCAGAATATCCAAGGACATCCGCAAAAAAAAACCCACCATAAAATAGAGTTCAACAACTGTATCACCACTTGACAACGGAAAAGCCTTCACACAAGGCCATGATTTAAAAAATCGAGTTGAGGAGGGAGTGCACACCGTTATAATGCATCAAGTAACATCATCTCCACTGGGTTTACCCCGTGACAACATTTACGTTAATGAAACAGAGGGAAAAAAAAATCATTTAATTATTTCAAGGTGAGTGTATTTTTTCACCCCATCATCCCTCCAATTTAATATTCAACAGTTACTCCGTGAATTGCATATTGTTTTATCAATTATCACTCCTCCTTTTTTGGTTCCATTCTAATAACCACTAGAAGACCCACTCAATGTCAAGTGCAGTATGAAATACGTGAGATATTATCGTATTTGATTTGGCGCGCGTTTCGAGTGGATTTTGACTCTTTCCACTCAATCTACCTGATCTACACTGGAAAATCTAATAATAAATTGAAGTGTAATCATCGTGTGACTATTTCAGCCTTATCAATTTATCACTTGTACGATCTATTCTAGCGGCACTCGTTCCAATAATCCAGTGTTTCAATTAATCTACAAAAATTCATTACGATTTCGGTTGAAAATGTTTGATTAATCCCACGCGTATTCAACAAGGTTTCATTCAGTGAGAGCAAATTCCACTGGATTTTATCGGGGGATGAAGCTCGAGAGATTAAAACTCTCGGGATATTTTAGACTAATGGAATAAGTAATGAAGAGGGAAAAAAAATCACGTCGATTGAAAATTTATTCAAGGACAATTTTTTTTCTCTCGCTCCACAACTTCGGGAGATTGAAGGCCACGAATTGAGTCATTCGTAGAATTCCACCAAAAATTCTAGAAAAGATTATTAATTTCCCGGATATTTTTCAAATGTAAAAAATTCCATCGAATTTGCGAAATTTGGGTTTCAATTAAATTCATATTTCAATTACTGGGGCGCAATGAGTTATCACAATGGCCTTTTTTTTTCAATCTCGGATGTAAATTCTATGGATTTTTCAATGGAATTCATTACAACTTCCGTTTTATAGCGGAATTATGACCGATTTGTCGTGGTAATTTTTATTTCTTCCTTGGGGCGGGTGATTGTTATCGATTATCGAATGATTTAAATTAAATACATACCCAGTTGTGGTGTAAATCCGTCGAGGTCAAACACTATATTGAATTAAAAATACAAGGATTTAGAGGCATAGCCCCTGTTGTTACTTGAGTTGTTCACGACGCGATGAAAATTGTGGGTCGCTTGTGCGATCATGAGAGGTAGGCAACCAACTGGAGGTTGCTAGTTCACTGGGTGAAGCTCATCCTCCCCTTGAGCGAAAAAAAAATACATATGTATATATATCCACCCCCTGTGAGGCCGATCTCTCACGATGTTGCCCGACGAATTCAGCGGGGTGAATTAATTGTCCAGCGACTGCGCTCCAGTCATCTCCAGATATTTATTTCCGCTTCCCGTACTATCTCCCATTCTCAATTCATTATATTTGATATTTGGCACGAATCCAACGGACATTTTTTTTTTCTCTGTTGCCATTGAGGGAGGGATTCAATTAGTTCACGTGAATGCAGTTTCATTATTCATTGTTTATTGCTGCTGTTTGTCGGTCTGAAGATGTACTGGTAATGAGAATTTTAGGGACGGAAAGGGATGAGGAATTTTTGGTGGAGCGAAATGAGCGAGGGTGAGAGGAATCGTTGTCGAGAGGATTTTTATTGAGGAAAATGGATAGCTGAGATAAAATGTATCAGGTAATATTTGGAGGCATTTTTTGGAGGGAATGGAAATGAGCGAAATGAGCGGAATGAGCAAAATGAGCGAAATGAGCAAAATGAGCGAAATGAGCAAAATGAGCGATAGTACCAGGAATAGCTAGATATCAATCGAAATTTGATCGCGGAAATATATCATAATATTTTATAGTATTTAAGTATATTTTATGCGGAGAATGAAAGTGAGCGAAATGAGCAAATTCAAGTGAACATTGTCTGCCATGTGAATGGCACCAAAAATGGGATATAGTCGAGATAAATTGCGACTATATATTCTTCACTCTTCTCCTGGTGAAGCGGAAGGAGCGAAATGAGCAAAGTGAGCGAAAAACGGTGAAATCATTTTACATCGATAAGATTTTTATCGAGAAAAATGTATAACCGACATAAAATATCGGTCAATATTTAAATCCGTTTGATTGCTGAGACAAAAAATGAGCGAAATGAGCAAAATGAGCGAAAGGAGCGAAATGAGCAAATCACTTCACACGAACAAATTTTCATTATCCATCGTTTATTGTTTCTCTTTTTTTTTTTAAGTAGAACTGGAAATTTTTTTTGCGGGCAAATAAAAATTTCAGGGCTTTAATGTAACCTGCAACAATCGTTGACACATCTGTTTTCCAGACTTTTTTTTTTGCTCACTTATTCTAAAATTTATTATTAAGTCCTGTAATACTTTCGCACCCTCGTCTTTTTAAAAATTATCTCATCTAGCGACCAAGGGGTTTCAAATCGTTTATTCTATTACAATAATCATTGAACGAGAAGGAGATCCGTGGTTGCTTTATTTTCCGGGGTGATTAGTGAATGTACAAATATATTTGATTGACATTGAAATTTCTCTTGTTTATCTGATGAATTAACAGAGTATTTTCCTCTTCCGTAGCTTTTAAATTCATTCAATAAAAAATATAGTTTATCTCGTATGAAAACGTTCACTCAACAGTGCCATACGGTACAATAAAACTGCATTATCGGCGCCATTTAAAAAATAAAAATTACATAAGTACTTTCAATTCATCGCATTATCGAATTTCTAAAAACAAAACAAAAATTTGGTGATTACTCAAGTAAAATTGATAGAAAAAAGGACATATTTATTTAAAAAATCTCTATTATTTTTGCACATACTCCCGTACTTGTAAAATTATTAAGATCGTCGACGTTATCGTTTTGTTAATTGAATTTATTTACAAATAAATCACTCTGACATACGTTAATAACATGTATAAACTCTATTAAACATCATCAACAGAATACTGGAAAAATAATATGTACACGAGAGGGTCAACAACCCTCTGTTATTATTATTATTTTTTTTTTCAATTTATTATTGTTTTAAGCTGCGAAATGGTTCTGCTGTCACACGAAGTACATATGCGTTTTATATACATACGTTGAAATACGGAAATGGCAAATAAGCTTAGCAGAGCTTCCATTCACTGTGTGTTGACCCCCGTTCAATAAACTGAATCTAATCCTCATCCGCAATTCTCCAATCGGCTCATTCAATCAATCAACTCAATTTCTCATTTTTCCTAGTTCTAGGTGATTAAGATTTTATTATTATGACACTTATTTACTATATCTAATCGCTTGTGATGCGCACTCGTGGCAATGTTTTTTATCTCGATAAAACTCTTGCATATGTGAATTTTTGTGATTATGTACCAATGATTTGCTAAATATCGCCCTCGTGCTAAGTTTCAAGGAAAAATCCGATGCATTCGCTATAAAATTCTATTGATTTGCTATTAGACTGCTACTGGCAATTAATTCGTCTAATAGTCAACGATTCTATTCATTAGTTTGTTTGCGCTTTTGCGGGGTATTCTATAATGAAAGATATTGTATGGAAAAATGTAATAGATTTAATTTTTCTGTACAATTTTTTCTATTGGCATCTTTATTACAGACACTGGGGCAAAGTCTATAGACGAGTGAAAATTTATTTTTTTTATACAACATTCAGTTTCCCTGTAAAAAGTAATAACAATAGAACTGTCTGCAAAAATTTAATGGAAAATCTATAGAATATTGTAGTGACTGCAATTAATTTTTTTATCAATTCCTGTTTTATCTAAAAATCTATTGCGATCACTGTAAACTTCCAAGAATTTACAGAAATTTTACAGACATTTCTTTTTTTTGTTTTTAAGGGTTTTTAAGGGTTTTTTTTTGAGAATAGAATTATTGTATAGAAACAAATAATGTTTAGTGATTCATCTACACAATTCAACCTATTTACACATCGTCTATAGAATCGATTGAAAATTATAGAATAGTTGACTGATTTTATCCAATAATTCGGCTTTTTCTGTGTGCATTATAGGCATTGTCCACAAATTCTATAAAAAAAATCTATAGAAATTCTATAGGCGCTATAAAAAATTCTATAGACAGTCCATAAAAATTCTGCGCGTAGCCTATAGAGACCCTATCGAAAATCTATAGTCAACCTATAGACATTCTATAGAAAACCTATGGGCAATCTATAGAAATTCTACAGCCATCGTCTATAAAATCGATTGAAAATTATAGAATAGTTGACTGGTTTTATTCAATAATTCGGTTCTTTTCTGGGTGCATTATAGGCGCTGCCTACAAATTCTATAGAAAATATCCAGAACTTTTAGACACTATAAAAAAATCTATAGACAATCTGTAGAAATTTTATACGTGGTCTATTGAGATTCTATAGAAAATCTATAGCCAGCCTATAGATATTTTTATAGAAAATCTTAGAAATTCTATAGCCGCCACCTATAGAATCGATTAAAAATTATAGAATAGTTGACTGACTTTATTCAATAATTCGGTTTTTTTCTGGGTGCATTATAGGCCTTGTCCACGAATTCTATGGAGAATCTATAG